AGGTTATCTCCATGAATAGTCCTTGGTTGGAGTATGAGTCTCTGGGAAATTCCCTGTGTTCAAATTTTCTTGTTCTGTTGCTCTCCTTGTGGCTTTTTAATCCTGTGTAGATGAGGCTGGCCCTCTAGCTAAACTTTCCAGGAACTAAGATTATAGACATGTGCCACTGTTCTGGCTTTATATGTTCTTTTTTATACCATGTATTGTGTCACATAAATTACACCCTCTTCAGTGTTCTTTACTACATTTATTTACTGTGATGTGTGTGTGTGTGTGTGTGTGTGTGTGTGTGTGTGTGTGTTACAAATACCCTTGTATGCCTGTGCAATTCTGAAAGCAACTAAGGGAAATCTATTCCTTCCTTTCACCACACATGTCCTATCTGTTGATCTCTGACCATAGGCTGGGCACAAGAACATTTGTCTACTGAGCATCCCCCAGACTCGGTGTTCTTTAGTCTCTTCCTTCCCATTCTCCTTGCATATGATGGTATCCAGGTTTTCCAAGTCTTACTTCTGCACAACTCCATCTGGTCTTGGATCTGGCATTGCTTGCCATAACTTTTGGCATTTTCTGCTGTACTTTTTGAGCTTTTCATACTTTACTGACTGCTTGATTTCTAATATTCTTGTTTAGTTATGTTGAGCATTATCTTGACATTTTAATTATCTAAATTTACTGTAATGTCATTAATCATTAGAATAGGTTGTGTATTTAAGGTATCTTTGAGTGGTTTTCTTGTATTTTGTTGTTTTGGGTTTTGTTTGTTTGTTTGTTTGTTTTCCTGCTCCATGCCTATAGCACTTATTGATATTTGGGCTTTAGAAATAACTGAGTGTCCTGTTAGAATTTCTACTATATTGTGGCCTCTTTTTATTGAGTCCTGCTCTGTGTTGGTTGGATCTCTGATATAGAGGTTGGTCTTAGGTGCAGTACAGACATACAGCCTTGAGGGACTGTGCAAGGTAGGCTGATCCCACTTGGAGGGAGCTGACCTCTGATAGATTGGAGGCTAGAAAAGTTGACTTAGAGGTGCTGTGCTGAGCTGAGCTAGGCTGGGCAGAGGAGAAGTCAATGGAGATGGATATGGGAATTAGTACAGACCTCCTTTCCAAGTCCAGCACATGCATTTTAGACAGGACAAGAGAATGATGGAAGGCACAGTACTGCTTGAGAAGGGCATGTCTGCTGAGTGCCTGCATCTAAGGCTGTGCTGAGAGTTCAGGTTGCAGGTTGTATGGGAAAGCATGCTGTTACTAGCTGACCTACTCTCATTTGGCCATTGTCAGATTTCTCAGGACATCTAGAACAAGTAGAGATCTGGCCCCTTCTATACTTTATGGCTGGCTTAATACTCTTGGTTTGGCTGACAGGAGTTCATAAAGTTCCTACTTTCCAGGGGCGGAGTTCTGTGCAAGAGGTTGGTGTATGGGAGATTAGCCCTATTTTCTTTGGAATAAACTGTTAGATTTATTTTTAATATGAATCATACATGACCACTACTGTGACCTAAACCCTCAGCCTGACACTCCCATTTAGAGACAGAATAATTCCATAAGAGGGACATTCTAAGCTTTTCATAATCTGAATAATTACTGATTTTACATTTCAGAATAAAAACTGCTAGAGAGTAATGCCACATCCAATTCCATCAGAGTTTGATGTTAGAAGTTTGGACTTCTTTTTAGAAACAAGTGGTGAGTTGGTGTGAGGATAGGCATGATCCCATAAATTGTTAGTAAGGGCAGAGAGCAGCCTTTAATATCTCTAGAGAAGAGAACTAGACCTACATACCTGACCAGCTGTGTTCATTACTCTGTAATTAGAATCTCTGCTTCAGGTTATCCCTGAATTATTCCCCTTTGTGTTCTTTACACGCCTTAAATGAGACTTCCATTATTTCCAATGCTATTCTATAATTCTCCTTGACTACTGCAGCCCTCTCTGTTTACACTGATGCCTGTCTGCAACTTGGATGCCTTCCACAATCTTCACACCGCAGGTTCAGCTGTGTGTGGAATGCTTCTTTACATTTAGCTGGAACCAAGCTCTGCTTCTACATGTGGACAAGGACAAACACACCCTCCACTGTCCTCCACATGTGGTAGTGACAGGAAACTAAACTGCATAGTGAGATTTGTTTTTTCCTCAGCAAGGACTCCAGTATCCCATGATGTCCAGTCCCGCCCCTTTCCTTCCATGTACGTGTCATTTTATTCTAGTCTTTGTTTGCATGACCATACAAAGGGAAAACTGCTTGTTTTTATACACTCACATACCTACCTTTTTATGTTAGCCATGTTGTTCTTGGAAAGTGTACTGGGTGATGACATTCAGTTTCTGTTTAGAGGAAAGAGAATATATTTGGGCAGATTTAAATAGGAGTCAAACACATACAGAATAAATCAGGAGAAGAATACATTTTCATCATTTTCTTCTTTGGGTTGTAAATATTTCTGTGAGTAAGCCCTCTCCACAGTTGTTTTCAAATGCAATGGTATATTGTCAATTGAAAAGTTATGGCACTTTGTATAGCAGATTCTTTCAAATAATTTATTCAATGTTTTCCTTGTGATAGCCACATAAACATAAATCACAAGGATGAGAATTTGAGTTCTGTTTACGTAATGAACTTCACTTATATTTCATTAGGAACAAACAGCAGCTGTTTATTCAAAAATTTAAAATCACAATTACATGTAGACATCCATCATACAAAATAAAACATGTCATTTATTTTGAAGCGAGTAGCCCATCTAAATCTACATTCCATCGTCAAATGAAGGCATTATCTATGATCTTCCATGTCTTTTTTAGTTTGAGTCATAATATTGCAAAATGTTAAAATGAGAATTAATGATTGCTGTGTGTCACCCTCGTATGTGTAAGAAGCTTGACAAGAGATCATTGTGTTGGCTATTTCATGATATTTCTAGTGTGTTTTTATATCAGTGTGTTCTGTATTTGATAGAAATCCCAAGTCTGACATGGAGGGTTACTAGTGTTTGGGGGATTATCATGAAACCAGCCCTCTCTTTATGTCTACCTTTGTATTTCTTTGTGTTTCTATGCATTTCTTCGTGCTTTTTAAATAACATTTTTATTGATTCTTCCTTAGTTTCCCATCATGCACCCCAGTTCTGTTCATTTCCCCATCTCCATATAGCTGCCCTTTGCCCTTGCAACCTTCCCATCTAAATTAAAACACACACAAAGATACACAAACACACATAGACACACCAACAGAAACAAAGCATAGAAATGATCTCATCGTGGAAGCTGCAGTGTGCCATAGTGTGTCCCACAGTGTACCCCTCTGTACATACATCTTCACTTGCAAATGTTTATTGTAATGAGTCATTGGTCTGGTTCGAGATCTCTGGCTTCCGTGACACCATCAATACTAGATCCTAATTAAAAGTATGAGCTTTTCTATGCCTGCTCTGGCTCCCAAATAATGACACAGAGAGCTACTGTATTTATTAATAAGCTAGAAGCACCGTAGCTGGGGAGATGTCGAACTATTCTAACCTGTCGACAGTGGTCTGGACTACTTCCCAGCCATGTGCCCTGTTACCTGCCATCTTAGTCTCCCCCTGCTCCATCCTTGCCTTCATGGCTCCCTCATGGCGACCTTCTCTCATGGCCCCAAGCTGCAGGACCCTCATGACATAGGGAGACGACAAGATAACCAACAGGAGTCCCGATAAGGACCAGTTGGGGTGGGGGGATGCTTTTGTGCGCTGTGTGTTCAAATGTTGATTCCTGTACCCACAGATCTAGTTGCAGTTGGACATTATTATTGTCATTATTTTTGAAGCATCTCATGTCTCAATGTTGTGTAGAAATTGTTCTCCATCACCACTGATTGGTTAATAAAGAGTTACCTTTTCATGCATATCAACAATTCAGTTTACACAGATTTTGGGGTGGGCCAATTCAGAGCCCTGCCTCTGGGCCTGCATGGTAGCTGAACTGGTCAGCCTGCCCGCCCTCCCTTATCCACATCACTAGGGCAAGCTCTCCAGCATGGCTCCATCTAAGCCACCTACCACCGCCATCAGCAAGAGTCAGGGTCAGCTCTCCTGCTCTCCTGCTTTCCTGCCCTCAGGGGCAGGCTCATCCACATCCACATCCACACTTCCAGAACCAGCTCCACTGTGTTTCCCAGGCAAGGTGCAGGGCCCACTTCCCCAAGTGCTACAGCCATTAGGGGGACAGGGCTAGGTCTCCTGCTCTCATGTTTCCAGGGCAACCTTCCCTGGATACTGCGGGTGGTGAGGCGCAATGGGAGAGGGCATCATCACCCCCGCACCCCACACACACCTCACACCAGATGAGTTTCAGGGCCAGCTCTCCTGCCCTCTTGGCCTTGGGGCTGCTTCACTTAAGCCCCTACCACCAGGGCTAGCTCTACTGTACTGCCCAGAAGGGGTGCATGGCCCATTCTCCCAAGTTCTACAGCCTGTGGGAAGCAAGGCCAGCTCACCTGCTCTCGTGACCCCAGGGCCAGTTCTCCCACTTGCCATAGATGGTGAGGGGAATCAGGGAAGTACATACCCCCGAACCTATGCCATCTCATGGCGGATGGGTGGGCCCAGCATTCCCTCACTCTGTCCTCAAGGCATGCTCACCTGCTCCCCCCATGTTCACTGTGCTGCCCAGGCAAGGTACAGGGCCTGCTCTCCTGAGTGCTACAGATGGCAATGGACAGAGCTGGCTTTCCTGAGCTCATGTGAAACAGCTTGAGCCTGCACTTTCCTGACTGCTGGAGGTGTCAAGGGGCAGGGATTGGCATGACATCTGCGCCTGTGCCACCCTATGGCAGACAGCAGATGAGTGGCAGGGTCAGCTCTCCCACATCCATGCCACTGGGCCAGCTCACCCACACCCCTGCTACCTGGGCCAGCTCTGCTGTGCTGCCTGAGTGAGCTCTTTCAAGTGCTGCCATGGGTTAAAGGTGGGGCCAGCTCTCCAGACCTCCTTATCCAGTGAGGGCCAATTATGCACAGTGAAGACAACTTTAGCCACCAAGACAGGCATAAAGCTAGGATAAACAAAAGACTGCCATCTGCTCTGCCCCTGACTGATATAAGAACAATACCATCAACAAGGTGTCTCTTTGTCCATTGCCGGGGAGGAGGGGGAGGTTTTTTTTTTTTTTTTTTTACCTCTGGCAGTCTTCATCTTTGCTAAGGCTTCTTTCTGCAGGACCATATCTGGTAATGAAATATTTTCCCCCATTTAATATGGCATTTCCAGCTCCGTCCTTACCCTTTCCATTGCTTTATTGATTTCAACGTTCTTGATTACACATGCAGTTATCATCTTACCCTTTTGTTGTCTGGATTCTTCAGTCATTAATGTTAACAGAGGTAGGGTGTTCAGGGCACCTTTGGAGTATTCTGGGTTTTGTGTGTTTTGGTTTTGCTTTTCATTGTCTTGCCCGTGTTTCATGTTTATATATGTTATACTGCTGCTTGATTGGAGGCTTTGAGAATGACAGTGACTGTTCTAGGCTGAAATGTCTAAGACTCTCAAATGTATTATACGGACATGTCTATCATGTTGTAGTCTCTTTCGTTGACGTTGACCATAAAAAACTACAAGGTCTTTCCTTTCCATTAGCTCCCTGCGGAAGGCAAGTCACAAGTCAGTTCCTTTTAGGCCTGGAATAATACAGAAATTAGATATCTGTCCCATTATTTACATCCTGAAGAACACGCCAGAAAATTGGAAGATATAAATACCTTCTGACATCAGCCACTGCCTTCAGAAAGAGAAGTCCTTAAGTAATGCTGGTCAGTGGATGCACTCTACAGACAGATAGGAAGAAGCTTATGTCCCTGTGGCCCAGAATGGTAACTGTGAGTAACTAGTATGTAGTATGTATTCAGAAGCCTAGATGACAGCATTTTGGACATTTTAAACTGAAAAAAAAAATTGAGGAGATGAGAAAACATATTGAAACAGATATGAAGAGTATGAAAATTACACCTGTAACAATTATTACAAAATAATTTTTTTGTTATTTAATCATAGAAAGGAAAAGTAACATTACTACTTTTATAATTGTTTGTGAGTTTTATGTAATATGATAAACAAAGACTACAATATAGATCTTTTATTTTTTTCGAGATAGGGTTTCTCTGTGTAGCCATGCCGTCCTGGACTCACTTTGTAGACCACTTGCCTCTGCTTCTCTGAGTGCTGGGATTAAAGGCATGAGCCAGCTTTCTTTTTTCTTTTCTTTTCTTTCTTTCTTTCTTTCTTTCTTTCTTTCTTTCTTTCTTTCTTTCTTTCTTTCTTTCCTTCCTTCCTTCCTTCCTTCCTTCCTTCCTTCCTTCCTTCCTCCCTCCCTCCCTTTTTTTTTTTGAGACAGGGATTCTCAGTGTAGCCTTGGCTGTCCTGGTCTTGCTTTGTAGAACAGGTTGGCCTCAAACTCACAGAGATCCTCCTGCCTCTGCCTCCCGGTGTGCTGGGATTGCAGGTGTGTGCCACTGCACCTGGCACACAATGTAGAAAATTTAAAACTAGGAGAAACTACTAAGTAGCACCACAGATTAAAATTCTGGGACACAGCAGATCAAGTCACAGACGTCATGAGTTCAGAGACCGCTTTGGGAATATACCAAATACATAAATACCTGTCTGAGAAAAAACAGAGCAAGAGAAGAAGAAAGTCTCAGGGTGATGTCTACTGTATTTTAAATATTCAGTTTTGTTACTGATGTACTTGCTGAGTTTTGTTAAACTGCTTGTAATTCCATTTTGTCTATGAATAATTCTTTTACTGTTCTAGCCCTTGGCTGCTTAAACCCATAGCCTTTGGTGTACTGTTACTACTGAACTCTATACATGCTCAAACACCACACCTCAGCCAGAGCTGCTGTATCAGAATCTTCACTTCCATCATTTTTCTCATTGTGCATATTGTGCTGAGAAGTACCTTTTAATATATGTATATTAAAACCATCAATAATAATGTAAGTACTAGCAGGCATCTTGTGCTGGTGGATATCACTATGGATTTTGCCCAGGATGAAAAGAGAGCAAAAACTGCTTCTAACATAGGTGAGTGATCTTTTTCAGATGCTTCTGATGTGGTCACAGGATATCATATTAGACCCATCTTCAAGAAAAGAGAAGGCAAGAAGATCCAGTGAGCTCATATATTTATATGGCTTTTAAGAAAGTTAAAAAGTAGAATGAATAGATTCATAGAAACATACATTTAGTGTCTTGTACTTGTGTTATACACCCTAAATATATTCATTTCTCACAGGAGAAAGTAATCATAAGGGAAAGGTACTTCTCAGCACAATATGCACAATCACAAATGAGAACACTGAAGACATACCAGTATTTTTTTGAAAAGAGGTAATATTAACAGGCATTGAAGATAACTGTAAAGTCGATTATGTAGGGCAAATGAATTAGAAGAGAATCTAGGACAATAAAAAGGGAAGTTTTCCTTATAAACCAATCCATAATAAGGTCCTTTGAGAAACCTTCACCTGTCCTTCACTCAGTGTCCACACATTCACTATTAAACCAGAGTTAAATGACTTAGAGAGCAGTTGGTCCAATAAAATTTACAGGCAGGTGTAGTCTCAGAAATTACAGCCAACCCTCCTAAGTTATAGCCTTAAATACAACACACATCTTCAGTTTTTTTTTTTTTTAATTATTTGCCATATAATACACATTGTTCATTTTCTCTCCATAGTGAAGCCTTTTTGCTTGCCTCCAGGGCTGGCATTTGTTCACAAGGCACTGGAAAAGAAGTAAACCATGTGAGATCTAGATGTGTTCAGCATAACCATGACCTGGAGCTCCCTGAAAGAACACTGTTTCTGTAGGAAACATTTAAGGCTGATTGAACTATTTTGCAAGACATGATTCAGGTTTTGAAATCTGTCTTACACTGTAAACAGCCACTTCAAGCCTTAACTTTTGTGTGACGTAACATATTTACGGCTGTTAGATGTATTATTTTGCAGTATAGAAACAAACACCTATCTCTCACCAACACAAATGGGAAGAGTGTCACCTGAGACTAATGCTAAGAACATCCGAGTCCTACAGCAGGGACTCAGTTCATTGTAATCTACTCCCTGTTGTTTCAACAAACAAGTGTTCAAGATGCACTGATTGAAAAGTTTCTTTGTTATGTAATTATAAGTGTTTCATGAAACCAATACCAAGTTGTAATACAGTACTTAAGATAATCAGAACCCCAGGGTCCTGGACCGTGGTATTTTATGACAGTTTTCCCTGATAATTACTTACACACTCCTGTAATTAGCCCCTCCTCAGGTCTAGAAAAAAGCTCAATCAACCCACCTACCTCACCAACTTGGACTTTGATACATTTCTATATTGTTCTGCCATTAATGCCTATCTGGGATGAATAGGCATTTGTTTGGTCTCCCTGACAATACCTTCCATGAAACACAGTCACTCATATTTGGCCCCAAAATAAACAATTTTTTATCTCTTTCTGGGGAAAATGGTGTCTTAGTTAGGGTTTCTATTGCTGTGAAAGGACACCATGACCATGACAACTTTTTTTTTAAGTTTTATTTATTTTATGCATGAGTGCTCTATCTGCATGTGCACCTGCATGCCAGCAGAGGGCATCATATCCCAGAATAAATGGTTGCCAGCCACTAGGTGGTTTATCAGACAATTAAGAATACTGTTACCTCGACTCGGCCCATGTGACAGACCAATTATGCTGGTAGGTACAGGGTCATCACAGAACCTCCCCTTGAACACCCGTGACCCCAAAGGGAGACGAGACCTGCACCCAGATACCTTTTAAATATGATAAGAATCAAACACGGACAAGGCATGGCATGGAAGCTAGACAAGGAGAAAGCCATTATTTGTTTGGCAGCCTTGGAGATGAAGGTGGCGCTCTAGGCAAGGATGGCTGCACAGGTGTCCCAGGCTCCTCCACTGGGACCCAGGCTTAACTTCTCACATCAACTTTGCTGTGAAGCTAATTGAAAGGAAAAGGTGTGGCAATTGCGACCCCACAAATCCACATGCCTGGCTCCTCCGGCACACAAGCTTAACTTGGAGAGTTTGCTGAACGTCTCTGAGAGTTCCCTTGTTTGCACACTGGCAATAGGAATGGTTTTAACTAAGTCTTGGAGAAGAATAAGGATAATATTTGGAGGCAGTTATTGTATAACAGGAGCTGTTCCAAGTGTGTGCCTAAAATGCTGGGTTGAATATCAGATACTGGCTCACAGAAGCTTTTCTGTCTTTGTCTATCCCAAGACCCCATTTCCTTATTTATAACAGGGGTCTTGAATGACTTTGCGCCATGGCCCTTTCCTCATTGAGTTACCAGGACTCTCCCATTCTATGATTCCCAGCAAACAGATCTTCAGGACATTAAAACAAACAGGACACACAAAGCGAACACCCCACAGAAACGGAATAGCTTACATTTCCGGGAAAGCAGGGGGGGGCGGGGGTTGCGCAGCAGAGGGCTGGATTTTAATTATGAGTGGTAGAAGATGGGAAGCTTTACTATTATGCCTTTCAGGAAAAAGGCAGAGATCTATCTATTCGCTAGCTTTCCTCCAGGGCTTTTCTGAAGAACTGGGAATGGCACTCTTACAACCTCTGGGCAGGTGTTTCCTTCCTAGTGAAAAGCTCCCGGTCACCTGTCAGTCCCAGAAGTCACTGCTGCGGGGAGGGGGGAATAAAACTCAAGTGATTTGAATCCCTTTCACATGTACATGGCTTTGTTCTTCACAGAATGTATTTGAATAATAAAAAAAAAAAAGCTAAAAAAAAAAAAAAAAGAATACTGTTACCTCAAGATCCAGCTATACCACTCCTAGGCATATATCCAAAAGATGCTCAAGTACATAACAAGGACACCTGTTCAACCATGTTCATAGCAGCTTTGTTCATAATAGCCAGGATCTGGAAACAACCCAGATGTTCCTCAACTGAGGAATAGATATAGAAATTGTACATTTACATAATAGAACAGTACTCAACAATTCAAAACAAGGAAATCATGAAATTTGCAGGCAAATGGTGGGAACTAGAGATTATCCTGAGTGAGCTATCCTAGAAGCAGAAAGACAAACATGGTATATACTCATTTGTAAG